TATCTATTCCAATATTTACGTGCTTAATATACTTTTACCTATTTTCAGTTTAATTTTTCATTATTACGAAATATAATAAATATTTAAGGTTATTGTGTTACAGTAAATAATTCCCATAGTTTATCTATTCCAATATTTACGTTTGAATTAAATTATTCAATAATTTTTGTAGATAATGGAATTCTTGATGGTAATACATTTATTACAAAACCGAATAATGATAAATGTCTAAATGATGGTTTAATCAATACGCAATCAATAAGTGATGGTGAAACTTCAGCATCTTCAGCACCATATTTTTTACGAAATCGAGCATATCACAATTATCGAACACCTATATTTAAGGTTATTTGAATAACAGTAAATTTAATTTCAATTTAATTATAGCATATTAAGCTTAACATTGCTACGTTAGACTATTTGTTGCGTACGTGGAATTATTTTAAAATAGCTAACAAAATCAAACTAGCAAATTTTCCGATTTAATTCATATACGGTTACCCAAGCTATTTGATGCTAATTAGCTAAGATAACAAGCGATCATACTTTACAAATTAACATCAACCTAATGATAACAGTAATTAGTTTTATCATACCAGTGATTAGTCTGAAGGTTAGTTCGCTAATCAAACTTACAAAATTTTATAAATTATTCTATTCCGTGCTGGAATTTACATTCATTTGATATTATTAGTAAATTATAAAGTGAATTTAATGATTAATAAACAATAAATATGATGATGAACAAGGAATTGTCGCACTCATTCGGATGACATATATGAGAAATAAGAAGACTTGTTATGACAATTTAATGTTTTGTAAAAGCATTTGCTCATTTTCAGCTAATTTTCATCTTATTTTTCTCTTATAATAATGCAATTGTTTTTTAGCATTTCAAATTTTCATTTTCTTTTTTTTTGTATTTAAAACATTTTTTAGATTTCTAAATTTTTTTCTGTCATCTTCTTTTTAAAGATTTAAAATATTGATAATCAGATTTGTTTAATAAATATGATAATACTTTATGAATTAAAATTATAATTACTATTAATTATATTAATAATGGTTAGTAATTATAAAGGTAATTTTGCATTATTATTGATTTTTAGACAAAATCAAATATAAATATAATCGATAATTGGCCAACAGCAACAAATAATTTCAAGTATGGAATGGATTTTGAAAGTGATGATGATGATTTAGATCAAGCAAGATCATCACCATTTACTTGTTGTTGGTCAGCACCAGAATTCATCGGTGATAATGAGCAACAAGTAATTATAATCACAAAATTGTTTAATTATTTTCTAAATTTTTTAAATTTAATTTTTTTTCTTCATCATCATTTATTTTCTTTTCTATATAATAGCTTTGGTTTTTATAAAAAAGCAAAAAAACGAAAAGAAATTTTTATCATTAATCTTTAATTAAAAAGACCAAAAACAAGTTATTTTTAATTAAGCAATTTCTCTTTTATTTTCCTTTTTTTTTCTTTTTTTTTTTGAGTAATTATTTAAAGCAGAAATTGCATGAATAGTTACGAATGATTTACAAAGTTTTTTATATAAATTAATATCATTAATGATTTTAAATATGCTAGAAGCTTGAAATAGATCAAAGATTGAAAAAAAAAAACAACAACTGAAAGACTTCACCAAAGAAAATCATTTATTTCACTAGAAAAATTTAGATCAAAGATTAAAAAAAAAAAACAACAACTGAAAGACTTCACCAAAGAAAATCATTTATTTCACTAGAAAAATTTAGATCAAAGATTAAAAAAAAAACAACAACTGAA